GGAAAAGTCGTACAATCGGTGTTAACACCAGTTCCAACCTAGTGCGAAACCGAACATTTTGTCAGTGTGAACCTCAACCTGAGCTTGGTTTCAAAAACAAACGAGCAAACTGACGTTTGTCAAAAAACAAGCAGACCCAATCTTGATACCCGATCCAGGTTGGAACTGAATAATAAACAGTGGCGTTTCCTTAACCTCAATCTACCTGTGCACCAACTCTCAAAACATAAACAATTATCAAAATATTGCTTGCAATGGATAGATATCGAGAAAATTAGAAGATAGTGTTTTTTTTTCCGTTTCGAGTATGAATATGGCATCTAATTTGGTTTTGAACGTTGGTGCACAGATAAAAAGTGAGGTTATGGGAAGCCACTGTGCAAAGGTTAACATGCACCAAAACCGCTTAAGGGACGACCTCGAATCAGTAAAACCGTTTAAAACTAAACATCTAAATTACGTAAGATACGAAAATCGTGCAAATTGCGAACGCCGCGCAAGACAACCATAGAGAAAAAACAGCTTATTATCACTTAAAGCACAGACAAACAGCCGTAACTCTTTGAAAAAGTTTTTTCTGAAAACATAGTCACCCCTATTCTGTATTTCGTTTCGAACGAAATTCTCATACAAAAAAATATTTTTTTGTATGAGAATTTCGTTCGAAACGAAATACAGAATAGGGGTGAGTATCTCAAAACATAGGGCCTCAGTAACGACATCTCTCGGGCTTCTCGCGGAAAACAAGCTTGCTCGCTAACTCGCAAACAATATTGCATAAAATTTCTATAGAATGTATAGAAACGTCAAAGTGATCCGATGCCAGGCGCTGCGGCGAGTAGTTCGCGGAACTTATAATATTCAAATCAACCGTTAAATGCGTGAACGAAGATACACAATGAAGAGTTTTTTTTTTCCCTTTGGTTTGTTTTCCGTCGATCTTGTTTTTCGTGCTGAGCACCAATGCTACCGACGCGCCAGGAAGGCAGCTCCCACACCTGGACCCTACATATCGACCCATCAACTCATGAACCGGGGACCAACGGCTTTACTTCCTACTAGGCGTGATCAGAGATGTTATGCCTCAGAACATCCCGGCGGCGCCGACTGGGATTGAACCCAGGCCTGCTGGAGTGAGAGGTAATCACGCTTACCACTACACCACCGGCGCCGTTATAATGAAGAGTTACGTCTGCTTGTCTGTGCTTAAAGGGTGCCACAAAAATAAATGTTGATTAATTTTGGTTTCCTCCCTAGAAATTCTTTGTTTCAAATTAGTTATTTTACCGCACGTATTTTAAAGTTTCCCGACCGTACCGAAAAAATTCTAAACTTTTCATAACCACGGCTATGCAAAAAAACGTTTCTTGCTATTTTGCCATAGTTCGATAGAAGCAGTTATTATCTAGTGCACAAATCGTCAGATAATGGTTTTGCAGCTACAGAATTACTAACGAAACCGAAAGTCGATGAAGAGAATCGACCAAAGTAGAGAGAAAATTTTGAAATGTTCATCGAAATTATCAACATAAAGATATTTGATCATGGATAAAAAAATGGATAAAAAAAATTGTGCAAAAGTAGGCCGACGTATTTTTGATCTTCATCCAGCCTTAAAGGATTAAGAGTATTATCAAGAAAAGACTTCCTAGTTAGTTGCATGAAAAGAATTTCATGATAGGTCACACGGTTCCAGAAATTATTACGAAGACCCTTATAACGGGTGTCACTTCACTGTGAAAACAAAGTTAAGTGATAAATTGTCATTCACGGTAGTCAGGCATATCAAATAGGAATCACTTAACCGTGAGTGAAACACTTTCACTTCACTTCCTATTCCTTTGTGTCACCCGTAATAATGGACGAAATTGCTTGAAATACACCAAAAAAGTGCAATCCGGTCTTCTAAAACATAAAAATCTTTTTCGTAATTTATCAGCAGAATTCTCGAAAAAACAACTTTCCAAATAGACCAATGTTCATTGATCGATTCTCTTCACCGACTTACTCTTTGAATCACCATGGCCGTGTAAAGGCATTTTTGTGGATATTTTTGACACACAGTTTGATGAAAGAAGTTACGATTACAATTCAGCATCCAATGCCAAAAATACGCCAGGAAACGGTTTTTGTAGTCAAGTTATTAACGAAATAGAAACTCGATGAAAAGAATCCATCAATGTAAGATTGGTCCTTTTTAATATAAAGAGATAAGCATTAGTAATTTCCAGGGGCCTGGCTGGCGGCCATGTTTTTGATGCTTTATCTGTTCTTGTCTTTCTGCTTACAGCACGATTTTGCTTCCCTTTCCTTCATGTATACGTCAGGCCGTATTTAAATAAGACCCGTGATCTTGCCTACTGTCAAATGTATAGGATTGATATGGGGTTGTCAGTTTCCTGGTAATTTCCATTTCATTCCACTACTTTAATAGCTTATCATGATAGATACGCGTATTTCGACAGGACACTTAAGTCTGCACATTGTAGACGAAATACGCGTATCAGTCAAGGGTAAACAATTAAGATAGTAGAGTTAAATTACTAATTCTTGAACTTATCAAAATCTAACCCCCTAACTTAAGGGGGTTAGATTTTGATAAGTTTTTTAGTGGGAATGGCACTGATGAAGACTGCACATTGTAGTCGAAATACGTAGGGTAAACGCTCCTATAGTTGCGGTACGTTAGAAGCGTTAGGTTCCTATAGTTGTGTATTGAGTCTCCATACACAACTATAGGAACCTAACGCTTCTAACGTACCGCAACTATAGGAGCGTTTCCCCTAATGGATACCAAAATTAATTAAGTGGAATTAAATGGAAGATAACCTTTTTGCTGTTTTACTAATTCTTCTCTATCTTTATACAAGTACACTGGAGTCGCTTTTTACGCGGGTGATACGTCCCGCGTAAAAAAAAACCGCGTAAAAAAAAACCGCGTAAATTCCGGAATCCGCGTAAAAAAAAACCGCGTAAATTCCGAAATCCGCGTAAAAAAAAACCGAGTAAAAAAAGACCGTGTAAGAAAAAAACGCGTAAAAAGCGATATACCGCGTAAATTCTGAAATCCGCGTAAAAAAAAACCAAAATCCGCGTAAAAAAAAACCGCGTAAATTCCGGAATCCGCGTAAAAAAAAACCGCGTAAATTCCGAAATCCGCGTAAAAAAAAACCGCGTAAAAAAAAACCGTGTAAAAAAAAACCGCGTAAAAAGCGACTCCAGTGTATTCCACTAAGACGCCCACATTCATCAGGATTCCTTTTGAAAAATTGAGTGGGAATGTATTTTAAAACACACACAAAAATGATTATTGTACTTTACATTCGTTTGAACGCTTTGCTATTTAGAAACAATACTATTTTTGCGGTAGTCAGTGAATAATAATGTTGAAAATTCAGTACAAACGGTAAAATCACAATTTTACTTTGAATTTCATGCTACAGTATAGAAGAAAAAACATAGGACGTTTTCACTAGTCAAGTTGCACATCGGACATGTAACGTCGGACGATGTTTCTTAATGACATAATCCATGAGTGTTACATTGGACGTTTTGTTACTAGATGATACTACACACTAATCGAGTCAGTAGGGTTTTACTGAGTTTTTGAATTGCGGAACTGTTCGGTAAAAGTTTAAAAATCTGTGGAAAATTTATTAATGAGAAAATTTGTTCTGAACTTTTACATACTTAGTTCTGTTAACCTCATTTAATGATAGAAAATAAAATTGGTCGATTTAATTGATTCCTTACGGATAACGGTCATTTGAATTTTTACCGACTTTTTCAGCAATTCAAAAACCCAGTAAAAAAATACTGACTACTGTAAAAAAATCTTAGTGTGTAGATTCCTTTTCACAGATTTCAGAATAGAGTACCTAACCTAACCATGCCCAGCCTTTAGAAAATGAGCACCAATCATGTTAGGCAGTCCAAATGTCCGAATTAATAATCGTGTACCCATCATTTCAAACAACTATTTCCCCACCTGAATAGCAACACTTCTTCTTCTTCTTATTCGCATTTCAAGCTTATTGCTTAGCGCATATTAGCTTATTGCGTGCTCTCAACTTAGTGTTCTAAATGCACTTCCACAGTTATTAATTGAGAGCTTTCGATGCCAATACCAATGCATGAATTTGTATATTGTGTGGCAAGCACAATGATACTCTATGCCCAGGGAAGTCGAGAAAATTTCCAACCCGAAAGATTCCCTCGACCGGACCGGGAATCGAACCCGCCGCCTCCGGCTTGGTAATATCGTGCCTTTACTGTCTAGGCTATGAGGCCCCACAATTGAATAGCAACCCCCGGTACGCAAGTAGCGTTATGGAAGAGGTTGGTAAATGTGCCTTATTTACTCATTGGTACGGTTGCTCTTAATGGAAGAAATTGTATCACTTATGCCGCGGATACACTTGCATGACCTACTATGAGCAAGAGAATTATTTGTATAATAATTATGAGCACCATACAACAAACTATACACAAACTATACAAGTGTGACCATGGATGTACTTATAATTTATTATACAAATAATGCTCATGCTCATAGTTTGCCATCCAAGTGTGTGGCCGCGGCATATTGCAATGATAGAAGAGCAATAGTATGTATCGATTAACTCAATTGGTTTACATTTGTTTCTAAGGACCTTTTGAAAAGTTACGCGTGATTTCCGACTATTTTCGGCACACAGTTCGATAAAAGAAGCTATTTTCTAGCATCTAATACGACAAGACACGTCAAACGTTTCTGTAACCGAGATATTAACCTTTAATATTAATTGTAATTTATTTAGTCAAACGTAATCCTGATGGATGAACCTTTTATCAGAACAACGAAAATTATTACCGGAAGAGAAAGTCGATGGAGTTAATCGATTGAACGTTTTGCATTGTTCTGGATGCTATATGATAAAAGAAACCTTTAACCACCATCCCTAAACGACAACAGTTTGATAATAATAAAGATACAGATGTAAAACAACATTTCCACTTACTTTTCTTTAATGCTCCTTAATCTCATATACTTGTGTTCTAGAATGAGCTTCTTGAGGGCGGAAATGTCATGTTCTACTTCGACCACAGGATTTTGCTCTAACTTTAGACGTTTTCGGGCCGTAGGCGAAACGGGAACTGACCCGACAGGGCCTACAACTGCACCCGCACTTGTTCCAGTCACTATTCCACTAGCCGTCTGAATGTACGTACTTCCACTGCTTGCTCCAATGTTACTTCCAAACACACTCACAATGCCACTTGATTGATTTCCAATTATTATTCCACTTGCACTAGTGTTATTGTTTCCACTTCCTATAACAGCAGTACTCTGCGTTCGCACTCCACTAACCGATTGTGCTCCGATAACGTTTAATTCATTGCTTACACTACTCACACCACCAATTACATTACTGCCACTGTTTGTTGATGACACAAATTGTTGCTGATTGTAGTGCACTGCTCCACCAGCACCGACAGTGCCGGCTGGAACCAGACTAACTGTATTGTTTGTAAAGTTTTGCTGTTGCTGCTGCTGTTGCTGTTGAAGTGGCTTATTCACGAGTCCTGATGCAGTGCTCTGCATTGGCTGTAGCTGCTGAAAGGTATGCTGTCTTTCGTCGGCTGGCGAACGGGACATTGGTGATGTAGCAACCACAGGCCCAACGGGCAACTAGAATACAAAACAAACTTGCTAATCGTTGTTTATAAATACCGGTACCTTAAACTTACATGGCCTGCACTGCTGATGCTTGATATTCTGCGGTCAGTCCCAGCAGGAAGGGCTAGGTTTTGACCTCTCTGCCCTCCCGCTGAATCACCTTCATTCATTTTTTAATCATCTGCAATGGAAAACAAAAAAATAAGCATTAGCAAAACTTTTCTGACGAAAACTCAGTATTTTGCAACCATTCACATTGATCAGACAAATGCCTCGATTGTAATCTGGAAATACTTCGCCGCTCAAGAATAGAGGAGCAAAATATTCATTTATTTAATGTACATTTTTCATCATTCAAGATCAAGCTTGATCTGCTTTTCCTCACTAACAGAGTGCTTAGGTAAACAAAGCGTAAACAAAAATAGCCCGCGTTTTACATCTTCACTGCTGTCACTGTTTGAAACGTTGTTCATCTCTGGATACATCTTCACCTGATAGTGCTGATAAAGTTGGAACTGTTTCAATCACCATCGTAACTGTTTTTATACATATTACCGAACTTTTTTACGAACGTAATACGCAGAACATAAGCATATTCCATTATTTATTACTTCTCCATGCTTAAAACATAGTTGTAAATTGTTCACATAAAAAAAAAAACTACAAAAAGTATGTGTATTTAAATTTCCGATCAAAAGCGTTGGAAAATTTTAATTTACAAAAATAAAATAATCACTACAGCACAGCACTTCAGCAGTCAGCGAGTTGAACCCACCGCAACAAGCAGCAGCCATCTTGAAAAATTCTCTTGTCTGAGGACTCGCCCTGTGTTGAGGATGGAAAATTTTAAAATTACCTCAACTAGCTAGCGAATTTGATCCTAGCTTGGGATTTAAAACATTCATTCCAAACTCGCGATGCACTTTCACTCGGTTTCGAACGGTTCCGGGTGGAAAATCGGTACGATTTTCGGCACTAATTTGCAAACTTATGACACGAACGACAAAAATGCTTCCTTCTTCGCGACTGCCGGAAAAGAGAATGATGGCTTGCCAAGAACGAACACCATTTTGAGAGCAGCATTGCCAACAGAATGAAAGCTATTTCCGGCCGTAGACGCCAAGCTACGCGCTCAAGGGGTGATTCGTAGAATTTAAAATGACAGTTCGTACACACTTCTTAATCACGGCTTCCCTGTTCGGTAAAGGCCAACGATTACTCTCAATTCGCCATGAGCCTGTAACCTGGAGAGATTTGCTGCTGGGGGAACGTCCAGTGTCGTTTTTATCATTAAGAGCCGAAGCCGAAAACGATCAGAGCTAAGGAAAACGAAAATCTAGGCAAAAATGATGAACAACAGAAAGCTGCAGTAAACATAAACATAAGCGGTGAAACGTGATTGAATGTATGCGTTAAAGTTACACTGTTATTTTTTTGCTTTGTAGCTTTCCGCTTGACAGTTAATATCATTAATATTTATACTAAAATCTATAATAACTATCATTTTGTGCAATTTTTACACCAAATATTACTTCAGATCAAGTTGTACTTCCCCTAGGGTACACTCAAACAATTTATCACATATCTAATGGATGAAAACCATGTGAATTTCACATAGCTTTCATGTGTTCACATAGCTAAACATCCCACCACAAAATCTCATAAATATTATGAGGCCGATGAAATTCATATGAAAAATCATATAAAATTAACGCGATCGCATAAATGTTCTGTGAAATTCAGATGAATTCCATTAATTTAGTTTATATGGATGAAAATCATTTGCGTTTCCAATGGAAGCTACATGAAAACTATTTTCGGTGTAGTAAAGTGTGGGAACCCTAATAAAAAATACCATAAACGAATGATAGCCCAAATGATTGAACACGTCGTTAAGCTCTCTTTTATGGTTATTTTTATTAGGGAACCCAACGTTGAGTATAATCATATTTACCTACTGTTGGGTACAACTTACTAACTTTTGAGCTTAAGCTTGAGCTTGAGCTTGATTGACCGCCCACGGTTGCTACTATGTTACTGCCAGATCAGCTGTAATTACACAGAGAACCAATAGACGATGCTTGGGACTAGCAATCATCCTCAATGTGTAAAAACTGGTGATCTTAAATTAGGCAATACCAGCGCCGGTCGTGCCCGAACACAGGTCAAGAAAGGAATGGGAAGGATTGTGTTGACATGACACTCGCTTTGATGGAAGCCGAGAACACCTCTGCACTTCCACGAGGAATCACTGGGATGTTGGATAATAGGGTTGGGTTTGCAGCAGGGTTCGTTTTGGTAAACGATAAGCTGAATTGATGTCCTAACGATCATATAACGCGAAGGAGCTTGTGACTAAACCCACGGTCTTCTGCTCAGTAAGCAAAAACGTTTGCCACTAGGCAGACGAGCACCTTTTTAATCACCGAGTTGCTGTTATTACCATGTAGTCATGTTAACAAATAAAACGATTGACGAATCTTGAATGTGGATGGGCCTGAGATTAGACTCATGATGTTCTGCTCAGTAAGCAAAAACGGTTGCTCTAAGGCGAGGGGCAATTCACTGCTCTCAAAATGAATCGAAAATACGTGAATGAAAAAAATACACAAAAATTCATCATAACTCGTCATTACTCAAAAAAATGCAAAAAAATACAAAATTCGGAAAAAAAATACACAAATATTCGACGAATAATAAAAATACACGATAATTCGCCATTTGCACGAGAAATTCGAAATATGTACAATCAAAATGCTGAATTCGGACAAAATGCGTAAATTTATTATTTTATATTTTAATCCGAGCTCGAATCACAAAACAATGCATTAATGAGTAGGATTTCACCCATTTTTAAGAAAAGTGCCTTTAATCGTTTATTAAATAAAACAACATTAATGAATAGTTGTAACCCAAATATAAGTAACGAAGGCGTAACAGACTTGGTAATAGATGCTTATTTATGCGTAATGAGCGAGGTAAGGGGCTGTTCATGAACTACGGGGGGGAGGGGTTAGTTGACAATTATCCACGGCCCATACACATTTTTAATGTTTTGTATGGACAATTGTCAACGTAGGTGGGTGGGGTGGCTCAAGAATCCCAAAAATCTGTCTACGTAACTAATGTCAAGCCTAGGAGAAACTGCTATATTATTCTACAAACTACAATTAAGTCTATATTACCGAACTAAAAGGTAAGGGAAAATTAATTAATTTAAAGATTATAAGCACCCGTTTGCTAATCAATATTTAATATGCAACAGCTGAAACTGCGCAAGTTAGGGATGCCTACGACGCAATCGGATTTTTGTTTGAAGAGGTGTTGAATTAGCAAAAGTATGTCGTAATTGATACCCGGTAATTTATACTAAATTTAACATACTTAAATCCTTTTAGGAATTTATAACATCGTTTACTCTCAGAATAAATGTTCATGAATTCGGTAAATTCTGGCGACGTCCGCAACTTTTCTTCGAACATTTTATAAATTCTTTTGGTCGAACCGATAGATGTCGTCGAAGCATCCCACAGCTGGATCTGGAAGAGAAGCGAATACAGTGGTAAGGGTGAGTGAGCAGCTAGTCGCAGAGCCCGCGATAGATGTTGTCCACTGTGCGCCAAGTACCGTCGCCGATCCCTCTCCTAGTGGCCAGGTAATTGTAGATAATGCCAATAAATCGAACCGACCGGTGACTGGGACGGTCCCAAAGCAGTCTGTATGTGAAGGAAATAAAGATGATAAACCTGCTAGTGTCGTAAGCGGGGTCAGACGTAATCCGCCGCGGAACGCGCGTTCGATTCGGTTGTCAGACTGTCAATTGTGTGGGGAGCTTAACAGTATGGAAATGGTTCAGTGCGATAGTTGCAAGCGGTGGTTTCATTTTTCATGTGTAAAGGTAACGCAGGAAATCCAAGATGTAAGTTGGTTCTGCGCCAGCTGTGCTACCCTGAGCAGTAAACAACCAACGGCTCCCCCCGTAGTTGATCGAGACCAAACGGCAACAAATCCACCCCCATCGCAGCGATCTAGGAGCATTGGAAGAAGCTCACAGAGCGAGTCAAGAAGGAGATTGAAGCTGCAGTTGCTGAAGATCGAAGAGGAAAAGAAATTGGAGCAGAGGTACCTAGAGAAGAAATTTGAAGCGCTTCTTGAGTACGGCAGTGATACATCAACAGTGATTAGTGAAACCGAGGCGAATAGAACAGAGAAGATCGAGCAATGGGTAGCTGATACGGAGCGGTGTGGAGAAGACGCAGATTCCGGTCTGGAACCAGAAGAAATAGGAGGACCTGTTTCAAGCAACTTGAGAGGTTCTTCAGAGCACCAGGCTCAACATTTCGGACGAAGTATAAGCCAGCCAGCGCATCCACAGGATTATCCAGCACCATCAGGGTTCCGTAGTTCCCAACCTGCCCATCATCCGATCATCACTAATCATCCGTCGCTGATTGAACCACGCTCGTTCGTTCCGGGTCAAGGGTCAACACCGATGCGTCAAAGTCATCAAGTGCCAACGTTTCCGTCTATGCCACATATCGACGATGAAACGGTATGCATTTTAAACAGAAGCCAGCTGGCCGCCCGGCAGGCAGTCTCGAAAGATCTCCCGGAGTTCAGCGGAAATCCTGAGGATTGGCCACTCTTTTTCTCAGTTTTCACCAACTCCACCCAAATGTGCGGGTATTCGAATGAGGAAAATATGCTGCGGCTTCGAAAGTGCCTAAAGGGAAGGGCATTAGAAGCAGTCAAGTGCCGTTTGCTCCATCCATCAAATGTCGGAGGTGTCTTGTCTACACTGAAAATGTTGTATGGCAGACCGGAAGCAATTGTGCAAGCAATCGTGAAGAAGGTTCGAGCTTTGCCATCGCCAAACATCGATAGGTTAGAGACGGTGGTCAACTTCGCGCTCACCGTAGAGAACTTGGTAGCAACAATCCAAGCATGTGAAGTACATGATTTCGTCTACAATGCCTCGCTACGATACGAACTGGTGGAACGACTACCTTCGACCTTGAAGCTGGATTGGGCTAAACACTCTAGGAATAAACCCAATCCGAACCTGCTTGACTTCAGTTCGTGGCTGTATTCAACAGCAGAAGACGCTAGCGCGGTGATGGCATCGGTAAGCGGGGACTCAAGGCCTCGCTCCAGCAAGAAGGATGGATTCCTCAACGTACATTCAGAAACCGAGTCGAGTTGTAACAGATTGTACACGGCGTCGTCGAAAGCGAAAGCAACAGCATCTAGTGAGTCGGAGAAACAGTGTCCCATATGTAAGGCCGGTTGCCTAAGCGTTTCAAAATGCAAGCGTTTCGCAGAATTCAGTTACGATTCGAGATGGGCTGCTGTGCGAGAGTGCAAACTTTGCCGAAATTGCTTACACAACGGGTCATGCAGACAACAGAAGCCATGCGGAATGAGTGGTTGCACTTATTTACACCACCCTCTCCTCCACAGTGCCGAACGACAGCAAGTTAACAGATTTTCAACGGGAACAACCACCACTGCTACCATGCTTGGCATACACATTTTTGGTCACAAACTGCTCATTTGCTAATAACTTTGCACACACTTGACAAAACGTAGTTCTGTTTGAAGCAGAAGATAGAATAAAGTTTAAGCTTGTGATAGGTACGTAAGAAAAGATAGATTTTAATTCTAGTAATAAACTGTATATGTTTTTGAGTTGTAAAAATGAAGTGAGAAATGTTCGCTGCACATCTCGGACTTTAAGCTTAAACATTCATTGGTTTTGATTCAAATGTTAAAATTTACTTATTCTTTGCATACCTATAGTAAGCTTTGATCCTAATCTATCAATTATTTTCAAGAAAATCAATTTTCAATAACTGAGTGAAAATTTATTAAAAAAATGAGCAATTGGTGAGTACAACTGTGCATGCCAAGCATGACTGCTACTACGTCAGAGCGAACAGCCCAGCAGAGCTGTAACATCCACCAAGGACAGTCAAAACTATTGTTTCGAATACTTCCAGTTCGTCTTTACGGGCCATCCAAAACAGT